CCTACTACATACAAATCAGATAGAGACCAGTCACTGGTAAGTCCCTACCACAAATAAATCTGATTGAGACCAGTCACTGGTAAGTTCCTACCACATACAAATCAGATTGNTCCCTACCACAAACCAGATTGAGGCCAGTCACTGGTAAGTCCCTACCACAAATCAGCTCAAGACCAGTCAATCAGATAGAGACCAGTCACTGGTAAGTCCCTACCACAAATCAGATGGAGACCAGTCACTGGTAAGTCCCTACCACAACTCAGATCAAGACCAGTCACTGTAAGTCCCTACCACAAATCAGCTCAAGACCAGTCACTGGTAAGTCTGGTAAGTCCCTTCCACAAATCAGATTGAGACCAGTCACTGGTAAGCCCCTCCCACAAATCAGATCAAGACCAGTCACTGACAGTCCCTACCACAAATCAGAAAGAGACCAGTCACTGGTAAGCCCCTACCACAAACCAGCTCAAGCCCAGTCACTGGTAAGTCCCTTCCACAAATCAGATTGAGCCCAGTCACTGGTAAGTCCCTACCACAAATCAGATTGAGACCAGTCACTGGTAAGCCCCGACAGCTGACTCCAGGGTTCGTCACTAACACTCTTCTGCTAGTCCTGGACTAGTTCACATCAGCAACGACTAGTGAATCAACTTACCTTACTGGTCCTGTGGACTTAGAAACAAGGATATGTTAATATCACAATATCATTGGACTGCTAACATATCACAATATCATTTGATTGAAAAAGTGGTTAAAATAGAAATGAATTGCATAATAATTGTAAAAAGTTTCCTAAAACTTCACCATGTCTTTATGGCAGAATGTAATTTACAGTCAATTACTGTTTTATGTTACGGGCTGGAGATGTTTATGTACGGAAATCTTGGACTAGTTACATTGATGTAGGACTAGTAAATAATGTATTCAAAGAGTCCTGTGGACTACCTAGTAAAAGTAGTAAGTGTCTAGCCCCGTTAGTCCTGTGACTACCTAGTAAACGTAGTAAGTGTCTAACCCCGTGAGTCCTGTGAACTACCTAGTAAAAGTAGTAAGCGTCTAACCCCGTTAGTCTTGTGGACTACCTAGTAAAAGTAGTAAGTGTCTAGCCCCGTTAGTCCTGTGACTACCTAGTAAACGTAGTAAGTGTCTAACCCCGTTAGCACTGTGGACTACCTAGTAAACGTAGTAAGTGTCTAACCCCGTGAGTCCTGTGAACTACCTAGTAAAAGTAGTAAGTGTCTAACCCCGTTAGTCCTGTGGACTTCCTAGTAAACGTAGTAAGTGTCTAACCCCGTGAGTCCTGTGAACTACCTAGTAAAAGTAGTAAGCGTCTAACCCCGTTAGTCTTGTGGACTACCTAGTAAAAGTAGTAAGTGTCTAGCCCCGTTAGTCCTGTGACTACCTAGTAAACGTAGTAAGTGTCTAACCCCGTTAGTCCTGTGGACTACCTAATAAAAGTAGTAAGTGTCTAACCCCGTTAGCCTGCATTGTACATGACTCAATTGTAGGAATATCAGTTGTTTGTAATCTAAAATGAGATCATAATGACTTTTATATCTGTTGATATCTGAACGAGCTATGAACATGGGATAACATGTTCATGATTTTGACCCAAAATTAGACAATTAAATTCACATTGTATATAAACCCGTTTTCAAACATCATTACTTTTTATGTGTATGAATTGTCACAACCTCGTATGTGCATGCTATTCCACGAAATTATGGTTTAAAAGTTCATTTTTCGTGATTCATTTTTACGCTTGTCATATTATTGTGCGGATCATATTTTAACGATCACGTAATTTACCAACAACATCGCAAAATATCATCACTGCAGAAATATCCTTCTATGCAGCATGTGAACTGGTTGAAACGTTAGCTGTTCCGATGTTCACTGTTTTGATAAAAACACTGTAACCTTGACATTTGTGAACAAATATCAAGTTTCATATTTTATATCATCAAAACTAAAATAATATAGACCTTGATCAGTGTTTGTCATTTTCGTGATTTTTTTTTACAAATTCAGTGACATCTAGTTCTTTAGAACAGATTCCTCATTTGAGAGGCACCAGATTTGACTCTCGTGACAGGTGGCCTGTTCGTTTATGCGGAACAACCGGTTTGACCGTTTATAAAAGTAACAATTTTGGGTATAAATCCTGGCGGACCTGCAAATGTTTTTGCAGGCCTTGCAAGGCTTTGTCAAGGCTCACCTGAAAGCAGCATCAGATTACTAGGTCCGACCTTATGTAATAAATGAACAACTGTGGTCCGACCAGTTTGACTGTTTAAACGAAAACGGCTAGGGTGTATGGTTTGTGATTAAGTGTGTTTCTAATATATTGTTTGTTGCATTTCAGCTTTGGCACGAAAAATATGATAAATTCCGGAAGCTTGTGTACTGGTTTGTTCAAGGTGTTCGATACTACAATGAGGAAAAGTGAGTATACAGACTTCAATGTGCCATCATTAACTTTAAGTTCAACAAAAAGCTCAGTATTATGTAATTTTGTAATTTGAAAATATTAGAAACTATATAAATAATTAAACTTTAATAATAAGGTTTATCCACTGTGACATTGGAATGTAAACAATTACACAAAATTTTCACAACAAATAAGGAAGATAGATTTGACTATCACCCTTGTAACAGGATTCTGTCTATAAAAGAGTATTTATCAAATTTCAATTTTTGATAGCAAATAAATTTCTTGTAAATTTCTCCCAATATGGATTTACAAATTAACAAATATGTGTATCTGAATATATGGAAGATTGTATTGTTGTTTTACTGATAAAATCGACAACTATCAAATTTGAACTCTAATCTAGATTGTTTATGACCTGCAGCTTGTTTGATAATCCCAGCTTATTTAAATTTGTTCAAAATGTAAAAAAAAAAAAAATATGACCTGGGGCCTGTGTTAATTTGGACTAAGATCCAGATTGCTTGAGAACCCTGGTCTCTGCATGGACTAAACTCTAGATTGTTTAAGAACCCCTAGCCTAATTAAAACATTTCAAAATCTAGATTGTTTATGACCTGGGGCCTTTGTAAATTTGGATTGAGGTCATTATTGTTTGCAGTGTCAATTTCAGACCTCTAAATTAACATGAAAGAAACAGTAACAGAATTTATTAGGTCTATGTTGCAGACCTTTTATGTATATGATGAACGTTTCCTTCTGCTTGCAGCTATGAGAAAGCCATGTCATACTTCCTACACATATATGAACATAATCAGAAACTTCTGAGCGAGTTTGGTCCAGAGGGAGGACTTTCTAAGAAGCTTGTGTCGTACTACAGACGACACTGTATGCTGGTAAGATCACATATGACCATGATGTTGTATGTATACCATAAAACAAATCTCCGGTTTTGTATCGTTTTTCAGTGGATTTGTATTTTTAACTCATTCACCCCTGAAAACACATTTGAACTCTTCTTGATCAAAAGTTGGAATAGTTCATTATAAAGTTTTAGGGGTGAATGAGTTAATCATTTAAGCTGAAAAATACTGATTTCTGAAACTTGAATTAAAACCTAATATCTTTTTAAAACAAAGAAATGTCATGAAAATTATTGTTGCATCAAGTTAACCTCAAACAGGTGACATTACATGTCAAAATCTGTGTGATGATTTTGTTACACTGCATAACAGCCTGAGTTCATGATAAAAATGTGTTTGTTCCTGTATATCAACTCTCCCTCATATTTGTCTAACAAAATTACAAACCAAGATGACAATTATCTCCCTTTGACTGTTGGTGGTCATGTGAACAAAACGTTAACAAACCCTATCATGTACGTATTCGGAAATGGAAGTACACTAAGTGTGATAATGGGGGCTGTATATATTGATCTATGTAACAGTTTTGATTAGCTTTCTAAAGGATGATATGAATTCAATGAAAAGAAGGGAAGGGGACAGATTATTCTTGAAACAATGCCTTTGTACTTGATCAATTGATACATTTCATAATAAAATCATATCCGGTGTAGAAGACATTTCTTTCCCCATCTGAAAGTGTCCTCGGGGAAAAAATCAACTAGCCAATTCTTTCCCCGGGAAAGAAATAGGCTAGCTGGTTTTTTCCCCGGGGGAATGAATCAGCTGGTTGATTCTTTCCCCAACTAGTTAATTTTTTTCCCGGGGAAGACATCAGCTAGGTAATTCTCCCTCTCCCCCCTAGTATAGGTTTATTGGGGATATTATTGGTTAGCCAATCCAATATACTCCCCCCCCCCCCCCCCCTCTGTATTAGTTTAAAGGGGGAAATTATTGGCTAGCTGATTCTTCCTCCTCCTCCTCCTACTCCCCCCTCTGTATTTGTAAATAGGGGGGTGGGGGGACATTCACTGTCAAAATCCAAGATAGCCATTTTGTTGATTTAGCCAGTCTCAACCATTAACATGCACAATTAAGGACCAAAAGAAACCTACATAATAATCAAATTTGAGCTAATGGTGGACTAAACATGACAAGTATCGCACAAAAACAGTAAATGAGTCTTATACAACTTTTTCTGCAACTTCCAGACTAAGAAATCCAAATCCAGAATTAACCAAATTAATAAACAGGAAAGGTAGCATGTCAGCCAACCCCTCAAAACTAACATCAGGGGATGGGGGTAGGGGGAATGAATCAGTCAGCTGATAGTTCCCCCCTCCTTTAAAAATCAGTTCTGAGGGTGAAAGAAATCTACTTTCAAATAACCGTACCACCCACAAATCAATGCTAAGTGGGTAAAGAACAGACCAGCCAGTGTAGTTCCCCCTCCCTAAAAATCAATACCAGGGGCAACATCTGCCAGCTAATAGTTTCCCCCTAAAAAAAAAAAAAACAAAGGGAGAAATAACCAACCAGACAATAGTTCCCCCCTCCCTTAAAATCAATACCAAACATTTAAAGAGAGAGGGGAAATCAGCTAGTTGTTATTTTCCCAGGGGTAAGAAACAGCTAGCTATTTTCTTCCCCTGGGGGAAAGAAACTATCTATTTGGGGAAAGAAACAGCTAGCTTTCTTCCCCTGGGGGAAAAACTATCTAGTGGAGGAAAGAAACAGCTAGCTGATACTTTCACCGGGGGAAAAAACTATCTAGTGGGGAAAAAACTATCTAGTGGGGGAAACTTCCAGCAGCAGGGAAAGAATTAGCTGTTACATTCTTCCTGCGGTGGAAAAAACTTTCTAGTGGGGGAAAGAAACAGGTAGCTGAATTTTACCCAGGAGAAACTTTCAGCAGCGGGGAAAGAATTGGCTGTTCCATCGACATGACAATTATCAGTCATAATGGAGCCTGTCCTACCATTACTTCTAGGTCCAAGATTTGGATCTGTTTAGGAGTCTTGTAGCAACCTAACAACCCATTATGAATGTCTGTTTATTATTCCATGTCCAGCAAGTGTCATGGAAAATATCGTTACATCAAGTTAACCTAAAAACAGGTGACATTACATGTCAAACCCTGTGTGATGATTTTGTTACACTACATAACAGTCTGAGTTCATGATAACAATGGGTTTGTTTCTGTATATCAACTCTCCCTCATATTTGGACAATTATCTCCCTTTGACTGTTGGTGATCATGTGAACAAAACGTTAACAAACCCTATCATGTACATAGTCGGACATGGAAGTACACTTAGTGTGATTATGTGGGCTGTATATATTGAACTATGTAACAGTTTTGATTAGCTTTCTAAAGGATGATATGAATTCAATGAAATAGAAGGGAAGGGGGACAGATTATTCTTGAAAAAATGTCTTTGTACTTGATCAATTGATACATTTCATAATAAAATTGTATCCCATGTAGAAGTCGTTTCTTTCCCCATCTGAAAGTTTCCATGGGGAAAAAATAAACTAGCCAATTCTTTCCTCGGGAAAGAAATAAGCTAGCTGTTTCTTTCCCCCCTAGTTAATTTTCCCCCGGGGAAGAAATTAGCGAGCTTTCCCCCCCCCCTTCCTTGTATTGGCTTATGGGGGATATTATTGGCTAGTCAATACTCCCCCCTCTGTATAAGTTAATAGAGGAGAAACTATTGGCTCCCCCCCCTCCTTAAAAAATCTGAGGGGGAAAGAATCTACCTGAAACTAACCCTACCACCCACAAATGAATGCCAAGGGGGTAAAGAACCAACCAACCAATAGTTCCCCCTCCCTAAAAATCAATACCAGGGGCAACATCTGCCAGCTTATAGTTTTCCCCCAAAAAAACAAAACCAAATGGAGAAATAACCAATAAGACAATAGTTCCCCCCTCCCTTAAAATCAATACCAAACATTTAAAGAGAGTGGGGAAATCAGCTAGTTGTTATTTTCCCAAGGGGAAGAATCAGCTAGCTAATTTCTTCCCCCGGGGTAAAAACTATCTAGTGGATGTAAGAAACAGCTAGCTAATTACTTCCCCCGGGGTAAAAACTATCTAGTGGATGGGAGGAAACAGCTTGCTAATTTCTTCCACTGGGGAAAAAACTATCTAGTGGATGTAAGAAACAGCTAGCTAATTTCTTCACCCAGGGGAAAAAACTATCTATTCGGGGAAAGAAACAGCTAGCTATTTTCTTCCCCGGGGGTAAATACTATCTATTTGGGGAAAGAAACAGCTAGCTATTTTCTTCCCCGGGGGTAAATACTATCTATTTGGGGAAAGAAACATCTAGCTAATTTCTTCCCCGGGGGCAAAAACTATCTAGTGGATGGAAGAAACAGCTAGCTAATTTCTTCCCCGGGGGTAAAAACTATCTAGTGGATGGAAGAAACAGCGAGCTAATTTCTTCCACCGAGGGAAAAAAATATCTAGTGGAGGAAAGAAACAGCTAGCTAATTTCTTCCCCCAGGGGAAAAAACTATCTAGTGGATGGGAGGAAACAGCTTGCTAATTTCTTCCCACTGGGGAAAAAACTATCTAGTGGATGGACGAAACAGCTAGCTAATTTCTTCCTGTGGTGGAAAAAACTATCTAGTGGAGGAAAGAAACGGGTAGCTGATTCTTTGCTCAGAGAAACTTTCAGCAAAAGGGAAAAAATTGGCTGTTTCATTGGCATGACAATTATTAGTCATAATGGAGCCAGTCCAGCCATTACTTCTAGAACCATGATTTGGATCTGTTTAGGAGTCTGTTGTAGCAACCTAACAACCCATTATGAACGCCGTTAATTATACCATGTCCAGCAAATGTCATGGAAAATATTGTTACATCAAGTTAACCTAAAAACAGGTGACATTACATGTCAAAATCTGTGTGATGATTTTGTTACACTGCTTAACAGCCCAAGTTCAGGATAAAAATGTGTTTGTTCCTGTATATCAACTCTCCCTCAACTTTGTATAACAAAATTCCAAACCAAGATGACAATTATCTCCCTTTGACTGTTGGTGGTCATGTGAACAAAACGTTAACAATCCCTATCATGTACGTAGTCGGACATGGAAGTACACTAAGTGTGATTATGGGGGCTGTATATACTGAACTATGTAACAGTTTTGATTAGCTTTCTTAAGGATGATATGAACTCAATGATTCTTGAAAAAATGTCTTTGTGCTTGATAAATTGATACACTGTATAATGAAATCATATCCGGCATAGCAATCATGTACATAATGGAACCTGTTCCTTCCATTACTTTTAGGACTAAGATTTGGATCTGTTTAAGAGTCTATTTTAGCAACCTAACAACCCATTATGAATGCCCATTTATTATTTCAGGCCCAGTAACAATCCTTGATTGTTTCCCCAAGAAACTTAACAATATGATGTAGTAAAAATCAATCATTTATTGTTTTCTCCCAAGACTAAACAATATGACGACGTAAAAATCCTTGATTGTTTTTTCCAGAAACTTTACCATATGATGTTGTAACAATTCTTGTTTGTTTTTTCCAGAAACTTAACAATATGATGGCGGCCCGTTTCCAGGACCAGGATGACGTGACGGACACGCTACACGTGATGAACACACAGATGTTGCCATGCCTACAGCCAATGACACACTCCTCCTCACAGGAAGACATGAGTGCCATGGAGGTGGTGCGGGAAAAGTGGTGTGCCTTCCTTGGGCAGGAGATAGGTGGTGAGTTCTAGCGAGGGTAGTGATCGGCAATCGGCTAAAAATCACAATTGATATTCAGTTTGTTATCAGAAGTAGTAAACAGACTGAATATCAGTTGCATAATTGGTTTATGATTGTATCGGACTGATTACCAAAATTAAGTGACAATGGCGGAATTTTGACCAATTACCGGGTAAAGTGTCAAAATAAGGTTCGCCCTTGAAACACCCATTCTTAGGTCCAGGTCAGAAACAGCCCTAAGGTACGAAAAATACTTCAAGGTTCTTGCATTATGAAAGATATCTTGATGATCAATAAATGAATTGATAAAGACCTCCAGCCATACGTATACGGAAACTATTAATATGATTTATGAGGAAATAAAAGGTGTCGTAAGGAAAGGTACAGACACTATTAAGGAATATTATTATCTCTTATTTTGCTCGAGATGTACTCAAAGTAATATTTGGGCTGATTCCGTCTACTGTGGCAAAAACAATTTCTAATGGTTTTATAATCATGTTTACATTTTTCTATTTCACAGCTCGCAAAATTGAGAAGCTCCAAGATTTCATGTCAAAGTTGTTTGATCCGCCGAGCGAGACACGTCCCCCTGCTCTACAGACTGTTCAGATGCAGGATTTACGGGACTTATACAGACAGTATGTAAATGTGATAGACAGCGCTGTCAACAGTGGATCAGTGGAAAAGGCACTTGAGTGTCAGTAACGGTCAACATTGGTCAGTACGGAGGATCAATGGTCAATGTTTGGTCGGCACAGAGGATCATCGGTCAATGTTTGGTTGGCACAGAGGATCAACGGTCAATGTTTGGTCGGCCGGAGGATCAACGGTCAATGTTTGGTCAGTACGGAGGATCAACGGTCAGCATTGGTCAGTACAGAGGATCAACGGTCAACATTGGTCAGTACGGAAGATCAACGGTCAATGTTTGGTCATCACAGAGGATCAACGGTCAATGTTTAGTCAGCACAGAGGATCAATGTTTAGTAGTTGAAACCATTGAAATGTCCTTAGAAAATCATTTGAGTGTTGTCAGAGGCAATAAACAGTTGGCTTGTTATCAATATCAAACCATTGAAGTGTTGTCGCTGATGAAACCATTGAATCATTGCCAGGTTCAGACGGTTCACTGTTGTCACTGATAAACCATTGAATCATTGCCAGGTTCAGACGGTTCACTGTTGTCACTGATAAACCATTGAATCATTGCCAGGTTCAAACGGTTAACTGTTGTCACTGATAAACCATTGAATCATTGCCAGGTTCAGACAGTTAACTGTTGTCACTAATGAACTATCAAAGTATTGTGAGTGGTAAACCTTGAACATGTTTTCAATGGAATACGTTTTAGGAGTGCAAGAACACAATATCAAACCCCAGAAGTCGGCTGCTGGCAAATTGATTGAAAAAAATATCAGTAAACTGAACAAGCAAGATTAAACATGAGATAGCTTAGCCGACTGAGCTATAACTGGAGGCTAGTGATGACAGACCGTTGTTTACCAGCCAACTGAGTTATAACGGGAGGCCAGTGAAGACAGACTGTTGTTTACCAGCCGACTGAGCTATAACAGGAGGCCAGTGAAGACAGACCGTTGTTTACCAGCCGACTGAGCTATAACGGGAGGCCAGTGAAGACAGACCGTTGTTAACCAGCCGACTGAGCCATAACGGGAGACCAGTGAAGACAGACCGTTGTTAACCAGCCGCCTGAGCTATAACGGGAGGCCAGTGATGACAGACCGTTGTTTACCAGCCGACTGGTTTATAACGGGAGGCCTGTGATGACAGACCACTGTTTACCAGCTGACTGAGCTATAATGGGAGGCCAGTGATGACAGACTGTTGTTTACCAGCCAACTGGTTTATAACGGGAGGCCTGTGACGACAGACCACTGTTTACCAGCCGACTGAGCTATAACGGGAGGCCAATGATGACACAACGTTGTTAACCAGCCGACTGAGCTATAACGGGAAGCCTGTGATGACAGACCGTTGTTTACCAGCCGACTGAGTTATAACGGGAGGCCAGTGATGACAGACCGTTGTTTACCAGCCAACTGAGCTATAACGGGAGGCCTGTGACGACAGACCGTTGTTGACCAGTGAGGTGTGACAGCGTCGAATGGATATGTGTGTGATCGTGAGGCGTGACCGTTGGGCAAACCAAACATTGTGATATTTATTATTTATAAGACTATTGTACCAGATAGTACACAACGTATTTACACAACGTTTATTCTTTGATGCAGTGGGATAGAAAGGAGACGAGTTTTAAAAAGTTTGTGTAAAGTTTTTCTTACTGTTATATATACAAGTTTGAAATAGTCACCGACACGAAAACTTGTACCGGCTTAATCTGAAGTTGATACAAGATTAAACTTTTCACAATAAGGCCATACAAAACATATATTTCCTGATCACTCTTTTCCCCCTAATAGTTGTACGGGTAGGTTATTGTCCTAGGAAGTCTTTGTAAAATTGCTCTTCATTTCGTTTTCTTGCAAATAATTTACAGTAAATATAATCAGAAACAAAGCTATGTTTGGTCTGAAGATCATGGTCAAGTAAATTTGACAAGTGTTTACTTAAAACTATGATAAAACCTTGTTAACTCATTCACCCCTGAAGACACATTTGAACTCTTCCAATCCAAAGGTTGGAATAGTTCATTATGAAATTTCAGGGGTGAACGAGTTAATATGCATGACACATTATTTTGCTTAATGCAATCATTTTCAAGGTCCATTTTTCTTTTCTTTTTGGGATTTCAATTTCAACATATTTTATTGACAAAAGAAGTCAACAGGATTGGACATCAGGCATTGCCTATACAAGTCCTCTCCTTATTTTGGGGATTTCATTTGGCAGTCTCGATGAAATGTTTCAAAAAAACGCCCTGATATAAAATATCCTGATCAGAAAGGATGAGACACTTTGATTTGAATGTTTCCGTTAGTGACTTGTTAGGCTAACAAACCTTTGAATCATTAGGTCCTGACACTTTTGGTCAAATTTTCAGAAATTCTACCCAAGATCATTTAACAAATTGGAACTGTACATGGTTTTAATTCGTCTAAGTCACATGCATGCTTACTGGCCTCATATGTAGATTACTCAATTTTTAACCCTTTCACCCCTATGTAACTTTAGTAGACTCTGCCATGCTTTGATCTGGATGAGTCCATTATGGTCTACAGTGGTGAAAGGGTTTAAGAGAAAGGTTTAAATTTTGTCATTTAAGTTCTGAATCACCTTCTGCTCGCTGATCTTCAGTAAGTTGTCATTATTTCAGGAATTGTGTGAGTTTTGATAAATTGTTACATTGTTAAATTAAATATCACTTTACATACGCTCTTGCTTGCTTTAGTAGGAGCATGTGCTTGTCATTATCATAGTGCATGCATGTAGTTGTCAACAATTCCAGTGATCACCAACATTATATAATTTATTTATTTCATTGAAATATTATTGGCGCATCTATAATTACATAGTAATTTAATGGTGGTATGAACATAAAAAAAAAGGACAAAACAAATACCATATGTAACCGCGACACTCCAGGGTTACGCTCACTTTGGCTTTCTGCGCCCCTGGAATATGTCACAGCAAACTCGAAGGCTCAATGTGCACCACCTTGTGGATGAGACAAGAACACTAGTCTGATCGTTTGATGTACAGTCAAAGTATTGCCTACACTATTCAGTTCCATGGAAGTTTTTGAACAGCCAAAATTAAAGTATAGGTAACCATATGTATGTTGAAGGTATAGCATAGAGTTACACTACTGTAGCATGGGCAGGTATTTTAGCCTTAAAATAACAATATCAACTTTCAGTAAAATAGTCCTATTTAAAACTTTATTAGATAATAATGTGTTAACGGTATTTTTTTTCCCATTTTCATTCATCCAAACAGTCTTTGGTTCTACGAAATGATGGGTGAAGAACTTTGGATCATTAATGAAACATGGACAATCAGCATTTTTATCAGTTCTGAAATGAAGCTAGTACTGCCCAAAACAAGCCTTACTGATTAACCAAGGTCTAGACTGATGATTGAGATGTCATTGTACTTCTTACCAATTTGATGCCAAAACTACTCAAACAATTTAGGTGATTTTATGTTGACATTAAATCTTATCAAATTCGACATTAGAAAAGATGTTGAAATTGTAAAATTTAAACTAAGGTTACTGAAATGCTAGCAAAAATTTGTTCAATTGAAAAATTTACAGAAGTTTTTTCCTAAGAATCATTTTGAAGATATACATGTTGATTGAAATGGCTCACTTGCTTGTGTACCTAATGAAAAGCCATACCCTAAGATCTGAGGTTTCTTCGCATTAGGATAGACACATCTAACGATTTGATACATGTCACTTATTTATATTGCTTAACCCTTTCACCCCTAGGTGACTTTAGTAGACTCTACCACTCATTTGTTAGGATGAGTCCATTATGGTCTACAGTGATGAAAGGATTAAAGAACTGGAAAATGTGACCTGTTCTATTTTTACTTATTCTGTGTTCAGAAAAGAAAGCCATACTTCATCTATGACAAATATGATTCATTTTAAGCCTTTATTATATTAATACATTACAGAGTGGAACATTTATCACATTACAGGCCTTCTACTGTTGTTTTATTTATGTCTCTTCCAAATCCTGTTTTTTATTTTTAACCCATATATAAAATATTTACTTTTAAAAGTCAAAATCAGGTGCAAGTCCTACGGCACATCAAATATAATTCAGGCAGTAATGATGTTACTGTTTTTGTACAAATATAACTGTTTTCGTACAAATATAACTTTTTTCGTACAAATATAACTGTTTTTGTACAAATATAACTGTTTTTGTACTAATATAACTGCTGTGTATTAGTTATTAATACATCGGCAAGTATATTAATACAAACAGGGTTACCAGTGGTCTTACAGCTAAAGAGTCCACTGCTGTGATAACAACGCCAAAACTCAGAAAAAAGGTCGCGCCTGTAAGGTAATAGTACCAGTTTCACACAATACTGTTCTTTGACTGAAATAATTTCCTGAATTTCAGTATTTTCCATTGAAAAGTAAATATATTTTATTTTCAAAAAGGATTTGTTTGAGTTTTTGGAAAAACTTAGTTAGGATATTTTTCTTAAATTCTGTTATACTTTCTTAAGGGAAAGTCAAGAGTTCAAGAGTTTTTTAAGATGTTTTCATAAGATTTCAGCATATTGTTGAAGTCAGAGTCTGTTAAAGTATAAAAACTGCTTTTATTTAAATCAAATTTTAATTTATTTAAACCAAACACTTGGGATAATTGATCATGACTCTAAAATCAAAGTTTAGATAGGAAAATACATTCACTGTTGCATAAATATTATTTGGTAAGTGACTGCTAATGTAATCATATAAAGTATAAAACAAAAAAACAAAATAATATTATTATTATGTCTCTGTGATCTTCAAAAATTGTTGAAAAAATGGATCTGGTTTCTATTTTGTCAGTGTTTTAAAATAATGTTTTTATTGTTGTTTTCTTTATCACATGGCAAGCTTGTTGAAATATTCCAAAGTTCTGTTTTAATTAATTCTGGAAATTTCATTTTGATTACAAATAAAATTTGAGAGATGGAATTTGGTTTCCCAAGTGGGTGAATAATCATGAAAGGCTGATTATGTAAAGGACAAGTTAAAAATGAGGCTAAATTTACTTGATCTTGAAAGTAATTCATAATAAAAAAAAATATGGCAGAGAAGTTAAAACATATTTTCATGATAAATAGCAATTGTTTTAAATATTTTTGACAAGATTTTGACTAAGGATTTTATGTTCAGGGTGAGTCCTGTGTTCTTTATTTTTTTGTTAAGACCTAGTTTATTTGGTTTTTCTTGTATGCATCTTTTAACCCTTTCACCCCTATGTTACTTTAGTTATAACTCCACCATGCATTGATCTAGATAAGTCCATTATGGTCTAAAGTGGTGAAAGATTCAATGTGTTAAAATCCTGATCAGTAATTATTAACTCGTTCACCCCTGAAACTTCATAATGAACCATTCCAACAACTGAATTGGAAGAGTTCAAATGTATCTTCAGGGGTGAATGAGTTAATCTGGAATATAATGGTGACAATAAACTTTTTCAGATTCACTTTTAAGCTTTTCATTCCTGCTGAATTTAGGTACGTTTTAGTATCATTTTCAATACACTATATGAGGCATTCTTAACGTGTTTTGATAAACTTCAAAATCGTAGCGTGATAGTTGTAAGCTGAACAAGAGCCTCATGATTTCTTTGCGTGGATATAGAATGGATCTATATGTAAGTTCAGCAAAAAAGTCCCGAGATTCACCAAAATCTTTTTGAGTATGGACAATGTTTTCGTAACCAACCATATTTGGCCTTTACCACATCATTAGCACGGTTAGTAAAATTTGTTGGCTAAACGTTAGCTTTAAAACGGTTAAATACGAAAGATTTTTCAATTATTTTGGTACTTTTCTTTTGAATAAAATTTCAATTGAGATTCCTTAACGAAACTTAAGAACTTCAGGAAAAATAACGTTTTTTATCGAATATTTGCTGAAAATCAGCTGTAACTCGTCATAAGGAGAGAGATATTTGCATTGATGTGTTACTATTTATATGGACTACCTGTATATAGTGCGTTACGCGGTAGATACGCGAGTGTTGCCAGGTTGATTTGCTACCTGTATTAGATAGACGCTGTACCTGCTGTAAATATGTACCAAAGGTAGCTTCACTGCTTTGTACATAGTACCCAAGACTGTACAGTAATGTTGAAAGTTGAAATGAGAGGAAAGATATCTGAGAGAGTTGTTCAAAAAGAATAAAAAATGGAAATCTTAAAGAAGTTGTGTTATATTTTATATTCTGTTCCTATGGAAACGGTGGTAATGTTGTTGTCCAGTATCATTTCTTAGACTCTGGTATCAAGTTTCATTATATTATCAACATTAAAGCAAAGATTCAAAATCTTTGATATTTTCATAATTATTAAACTGAAAGCGAAATCTACATATCCTGGAATTAAAAATAGCTTCTTATACCAGATCAAGAAATGACAACCAAAACATTCTGGGAAACATTTGATATGAAATAGAAGCCTGATGAATTGTTTCCTGAAATACAACAAAATGGATTTTTAATCAGTTGAATTCACAAGAAAAATAATAACAATAATTTGAGATACTTATGTACCGCTTTCATCACAACCTAGTTTGTAGGTCGTCTCAAATCGGTTCACAAATTATTACCCGTGGTTATAGGGTCTTTGCAACCAGCCAATTCCTTTCTCAACTCCCTGGGAAGCATACAGCCGATGCTGCCATTTCGGCGCTCACAGCTAGCATTCAACAATTTTAGCACTGCCCAACCACGTACTCATTTACAGCTGAGTAGACTGGAACAAGCAGAGTAAAGTATCTTGTTAAACAAAATTACAACACAGTGCCTTGACGTGACTCAAACCCACAATCATTCAGTCGGAAGCCTGGCGTCTTACCACTAAACTACCGTGCCTCCTAGAATATACAATTTGGCTCAAAGCACCTGTGACCTTTCAGAATGGCAGGTCATCCATAAACATATTCTTCTTCACAACAATAATGACAAGAGTCCTTAAATGACCTTAGCTGTTAATAGGACGTTAAACAAAATCAAACAAACAAACAAAGACAAGAGTCATCACATTTGGTCAGTAGTTTGCCGGAGCGCAGGGATATCAACACTGCAATTAACTACCTTGAACCACTTTCAATTCAAAAATGTTAAATCTTCAGAACCATGAGACCAAGATTCATGATATTTGACCTGTAGATTTAACCAGGGATTGAGGTCTACTAAGTTTGTTCAAAAGATGACCTTGACCAACTTTTAACATTATCCAGTGAGATATGGTAAACATTTAAAATTATATTTTTACAGACTCCGGAGGCAAAGTGTCATGATGTTTGTAGCTTGCTGGATTTAGGAGCTAGCAAGTTTTTTCAAGTGAATGGCCTTGACATTTCTCCAAGGTAACAGTAGTCTTGTTTGTTAACAACTTTGTCTTCTGAATATTTAAGATTGGGGGGGGGGGGGGGGGGGGGGGGGGGGGGCTATTGCGGTTGTTCAAATTAATGACATTGGCCGCCCGCTAAGGACACAATAACAATGTAACATATTCATGCAACTTCTACAGACTACAGAACTACAACGTCTACAGTCGTAATTGCCTGTATCCTTCTCATGTGTATAGATAATACGATTTTTCATATGAATGACATTGACCCGAACTCAAGTTGATACACTATCCCTTCAACCGATTGAGCTACTTGGTCAACGGAAGTGGGCTGTTCAAACTGTACCACAGTTATATCTGAACGGAAACTTTGTATCCAGAGAACAGAGTGGGAAGCACTTTGTGACCGTAGTTTACTAGCGAAGAATTACACTTTAAAATAAACAGCATGATCATGCGCAAGACTTATGAGGAATTACGTGACTTACAAACCCAAATCAGCATCGAACAGTGTTCAGAATGTAGATTAAATTCAACAATTTTTATAAGGGATTCTACGAACATATGAATTACTTTCTACGAACATATTAATTACTTTCATACTCCAGTTTCAGGAACGTTTTCTTACTTATTAATCAATTCCTTAACTGTATTCCTTAATTGATTTGTTTCACGTAGAAAAGCAGTTAAGGAATTTTTCTCAATATTTGATGTTTTCTTAGCTGCTTTTCTACGTGAAACAAACAATTAAGGAATTAAATTTAGGAATATTGCTTTCCTGTGGAGAATTTTAGGTCAAATAATTTCCTCTAGCTGATGAACGTACGTGAAAATGGTACCTACAGAATAGCCAACAGCGTCAGCAGTTTCTACGCCTTCTTTACCAGGACTGTGACACCATGCAAACATGTCGGTGGTTTGTCATATGGAAGCCCACTCATATAGTTAGTGTTTATCAACAAGACTGTCTGAGATCGAGTCCATGAATTTCTCTAGATACTCCCGTTTTCTCCCATACAATTTATTCAAAAAATTCTGTCGATTCTGAGAAAGATTTAGATTTGGAATTTTTACAGATTTATCAAGGAATTTTTACAGATTTATCAAAACAAGAAGAGGAGGATCATGCATTATTTCTTTATTTCCACCAAATTAAAGAGTTACAAGAACATTTAAACGAGTTAATTAATGGCCGGTACATAATTAAGTATACTTATGTACAAAAATAACATGAAATATCATTCATTACGACATTGTTCGTCTGTGATAAAAAAAAATAGCACATTCCAAATAGGGTAATTCATTCTAAGATATACTTGTATTTCATTACAATTTTACCGATGAAACAATTTTATCAACAGAAATAGCGCAAATCAATACAAAGTTTTCATAATCTAACTCGCATAACTTGTAATGAAGGGTTCCTCCAAGTAGTATGTGAATTAAATGGTAGTCTGACAAGGAGTGCAAGTAAACAAGTAGTTCTATATCAAACTCAGTTCTAATACGGCACCAAAGATCGTCTCTAAGCTTCTCAGGTTTTGTACAACGGAGTACAATGTGTGTTGTAATGTCAGTATGTAAAATACCACAAAAATGACACAACTCAATCTACACTGGTAGATCTTATGTCTAAGCACAACCTTACTTCATTATGTATCCTACCTACCTAAGTAGGGACTTCAAAGCTAATTTCCATAAAGTATGTGGACAAATTGAACAGAATCGCTAATCATTCTATCATACATCATCATTTCTTCCAGATTGTACACTGCTTTATACACGAGTGATTTCCACAATGATTTACTAGCCAAAACGGCGTCTGAAACATACTTTAGTACATAAATAAATCATATTTGCGAAGTATTCTCACAATATCAGGAATAAAACCGCATTGACAAAAATCATACAAACGATACACAAGTAGACGTTTCAGAAATACTGATTGGGTTAAACATTTTCTACTCATCCCACATAGTCGATCATGGAACAAAAGTTTTCTTATATCAATGTAGGTTTCGATTAATGTCCATCCAATTAGTGAGTTAGCCATATCGGTTCTAGTCCTAGCACTGAAATCTTGAATAGATTTCACGATAAAATTTTGAGCGCGTTTTAGTTTAATTAATCATGTTTTAGATAGTTGCCATAATTCACACCCATATAAAGCCAGACGGAAACAGCTTTTGTCTTAATTATTTTGGCTACAGTTTATGGGCTGGTAGTTCTAGGGTGAGCACCGGACCTGATAAGAGCCGTTGTACCTCTTTTTAATAAGTCTAGTTATAGATATTACGTTTTTTATATGAATGACATTGACCCAAACTCAAATTGGTTTTTTTCATTTACATTAAGATGTAAAGCAATACACAATTGTTGAAATTATATTTGTAACCAAATTTTACAACTTAGGTAGATCCATCTCAAGTGGAAGAAATGCATATGAGATTTGAGGACCACATGTTTTATGACTATACTTTTTGAGAAATAAATAAGCAATGCGTTGAGTATATGAGTAAAAATACGGAAAATAAGGGCGGGTAAGATAGGAATCAATGCATTTTCTTCATCTTACAACTCATCATCGCCAAACAGCAGTAATTTACTGACATTGGACAAAAAGGCGGCAGCGTGACATAAAGGACTATCAACAAGGTTTCTACCATACAAGTAAAGTTTTAGGGAACTGCACTCCATTCTAAGTCTAGCATGGTGGACCTGATTTCTTGTTACTACCGATAAAGAAGAAAGGCGAGACTTTATCCCTTGGTCCATACAGGTACATATGTAATTTGCTATTTTTTTATTGCCTGCAACGCGAGGCGACATATAGTTATTACTTTGTCAGCGGTCGTCGGTTGCGTCGTCCGAAACAAGGTTTCCGTGCGATAACTCGAGTTCTCTTGGGTTAATTTAACTCAAACTTCACACAGTGCTTCCTTACTAAAAGTGCTTGCATGAGATTGCTTTTCATGTGCGAAGGTCAAAGGTCAAGGTCACCATTAATATAAATAGAAAACCTGTTTCCGTGCTTTAACTTGAGTTTCTCTAGGTTGATCGAGCTCAGATTTTATACCGTGCTTCCTTACCAATAGTGCTTGCCTGGGATTGCTTTTCAGGTCCGAAGGTCAAAGGTCAAGGTCACCGTTACTATAAATAGAAAATTTGTTGCGCAGGCGACACATCCTCTCCGGTTGAGTTCTTGTTAAATCAAGATGTAGAGGGGTCACCTTTTTTTGAGTCTGGCAAGGAGTTCCAAAGATCAATTACGGAAGGCAGGAAAGACTTCCTGTATAAACTAGTACGACATAAGATGACGAAAACTGTTTGCCTTCACTGGTATTGTAGTCGTGAATGATGTTGTTACGTCGAGGGAGAATATCTTCTAGGTAGTTCGGTACGAGACCATGGACCATTTTGTGAAAGTGGATTATCTTGTGATGTTTTCGCCTTTGCTAGAGAGGAAGCCAGTCCGTTTAAAGGTAATGCTTAACTCTACTAGTGAGCCTAGTACCACCAGTTACTATACGTCCTACTTCCAGTTGGAGGTCTTCTAATAAGTCAGACTGGCATTTTGTAAGACAGTCCCAAATAATGTCGAATAAGAGTGAAATACAAAGTTTGAAGACATCTAAGATCTCAGGTAAATTTAAATTTCCGTAAAATGTTAGTTTTTGGTGATATCTATGATTTTAAATAGTTAATGTGTTCGATCCGACAATCATTTCCAGACAGAAGTTTCTGTTTTAGCAGGAGTAGAATGTACCAACCATCTCTTGGACCATTCAGAATTTTAGTTAAGTCATCATTTATAATTCCGGCATTACTTCTTTGAGAATTGATGATGGTGTTCAAAGAAGTGTCATCTGCAAATAGCTTAATGATAGCATTAATGTCTTTTACAATATCATTAATAAAAATAAGAAACAAAAGGGGGCCCAATATGGAACCTTGTAGTGGAACCCCCAACTTTAACGTTTGACCAATTTGAACTTTTACCATTAATAACAACTCTTTGTTTACGATTACAAAGACAATTTATTTTCAAACCAAATTAGTAGAGAACCCCGAATGCCAAAACCAGTTAGTTTACGAAAAATACCTTAATGTCAAACACGGTCGAAAACTTTGCTTATATCACAAAAAAAAATTCTTATTTCTACATCATGAATGGTCCCAAGAAACTGATTGACGGGTGGATCGCCATGTCGAAATCCTGACTGGTTAGAAGATAAAAGGGAGTGGTCATGTAGGAAATTATAGATATACTTATAGACGCACCTGTCCATTAATTTTCAGACTATATCTATAGTAGGGATATAGGTATGTAGTTAGTTAAAACGGACTTCTTTTTTGTACACATGTGTGACATTTGCATTTTTCCATTCAGATGGAAACACCCCCGAGATAAGAGACTTGTTAAAGAGGACACTGAACGGGATACATAGAATATCTGCCGCTTCTTTAAGAAGTCAAGGATTCACAAGATCAGGACCGACAGCTTAGAACAATCAAGTCTAAGTATAGCATATTTTACATCGGTAGTAGATATGTTAATATTAGATAAAATATGGTTACATTCATCCACAATAGTTGATTGGACACAGAAGAAGTCACTAAATAAGCAAGCTTTATCAAGGTCATCAGACAACAGTACCATTGAAAAGAAGGGGTGGTATACAGACTTTTCCAAAGTTTGGTAGTAATAATTGTACCGTTCTCCATCAATCTTTTGCATTGAGAGTTTTAGGTTTTTCAAGTATTTCACATATTTTTTTTATATTTGGCTTTAGCCTTCTTTATGGTGTTGACACATGTTTTACGATTTGACGGAAATTTGACCAGTTAGTATCGCTAAGAGAACGCTTGGCTCTATATAGTTTTACGTTTCCGAATTAATCTCCGAATTTCGTTAGACATCCAGGGAGGTTCATTTGATCTGACAGTTATAAGTTTGTTAGGAATACAAGTTTTACAAATTGTTATATTCAACCGATTGAGCTACTTGGAGTGTTGATTCAAACGACAGCTCACCAATGTAAGCGCACTCATATAGTGCTTTTCGCCCAGACTGTCTGAAATCGATTCCGCGATTGGACGCGAAAAGACATGAGGCCCAACAATGTGGTTTTCTCAAGATTATTAAAATAATTCTGTCGATACTGATATTTAGATTTGGAATTTTTATATACGATTTAAACTACATGACTTACATTTTTATTAAAATAAAAAAGGCGTGGGGGGAGCAAACTATAAAGTTGATTTTTTTACGAAGACTGAAAGACTAATTACATCGAGATAGTCTTTTGATATTTTGTAAATTGTTTATTTAACCTGCTTCAAATTATGCTTGCATGTAACGGTTGATTATACAAAATAAAGATTAGAAGAGCAATAATACCGCAAACTTTTACCTGTAAGTGTATATTATTACAGGATTTTTACATTTTGAAACTGGTCTATTTTTTCCGGATCTGCAAGGCGTACAAAATTTAGTATTTTAAGTCTAAAAGCACAAGTTAACTTCGAAGTATTTAAACAGCCTCTTGCCGCGTACCTTTGCGTTTTGACGGGTTCTCAATGACTTTTCGATATAACCTCAAAAGTCCTCATTTCATTTCTCTCGCCGAACCGTTCCAGAAAAAAGTACAGATACGGATGCAAAACTAGATTTGTTTTGTCGCTTTATCACTAAAATACTAACAAAGAATTTTCAGACGTCGTTTTTGTAGATATTTTGTTCGTTAGTTGAGAAAAGTTTTTTTTTTGCGTTTTTGTTCTGGTTTGGCTACAGCACGAACTTCATCTAATTCCGTGGCTACACCAGTAAAAAAGGGCGTGCCTTGTGTTACTCTATTTACATTAAATCGACAAAAAGTGAACCAGTTATTTGTATACGTCTCTTTTCTTGTACGAAACAATATAGAAAACATATATATACAGTTCACGAAAGCTTTCATGATCCAATACAAAAAGATATTTGTGTTTTTATTTTTTATCTGTTGATTGGATGATTTTTAAAAAAAATGGAATTATTGCATATGTCTTAATACACACTTTAGCTTGTCTTACGATTTTTACAAGGAAACCAAAAGAAAAAGATACAAGAGGAATGAGAGAGTGACAAATTCGACTGCAACAGAGGAATGAGAAACAAAGAAGAATTGACGGAGAGACAACAGATTGACAGACACAGAGGAGAAAGTTCAGGTCAGAAATTAATCTGTTATAGAGTGCCAGGTAAGAGGATAATCTAGTCAGTCTATGACAAAAAATAAAATTTATTAATAATCTTTTCTTATCAGTCTGGAAGTTCTGAAGTTTTTATCTTTATAAACGCATTGTGTTTCCGAATGTAAATTCGATGTAAATTACAGATAAAGGCATCGTAAAACAGCTTGCTTTTCACTCACACACATATACACTGTTTGATGATCAAAATGATGCTCTTTCGTCTGTGTTCATACCTGTCGATACGTGTATATCATCGTTCGTTTCATTTTATTTTACCTAGTCCGTAAATTTACTTCGGGATCTGTAAATTTACACAACCCAGTTGTACTTCAGTTAGGCAAAATTGTTGTTTCCTTTATCGGAACACCTCGCTCTTTATCATGTAACATCGTAAGCGAGGTCTATTTATACGACTACCGCGCCCGAAATAATTTCACTTCCTCGTCAATATCTTTGAGTACAACAACTTGCCAACACTTGTTTTCATTGAAACATCCTCATTATGATATTTTTTTGATATTTTGATCTGACAGTTGAGATGTTATGCCAAATAAAATCTGAATAACAGTCGAAAACCGGGTTATTAACTAATTGAATAGAGTTCGGCAATTATGTCGTTAGGACCATGAAACGGGTTAACTGCCTGTTTTTGGTGTTTGTGATTGTCGTGTTTAAAATATTTACTGAATTAAAAGAAATTTATTATAGTTGATTAAAATAAGTTTGATTATGGTTTTTTTCTCAGAGGTCAGTCAAATGAAGGTAATTAATGAAGAAAACATTCGAAACCTCGGATTAATCAAACATTTTGACTTTACGGGTTTTTTATAACCTGCATGAGGAAGCTGTTTCAAATTGATGATTTACCTGAAAATTTTATAATATCTGCAACTGATAATTTAACATACAATTTTAAAATAATTTTAGGACTTTTATGTTATTTATTTGAATGACATTAAAAAATCAAAACATTCGAAACTATGGATTGATTATAAACAGTGCCTCTATTTACAAAAGGGCGGTACCCGATTAAATCAGTTTACGCTTCTCACTCAAAGTGACTGCACTGCCATCGTCATTCAGTTTGACGACCGCATAATTCAGGTTGCTAAAACAGAAGGGGAATCACCTATCGGGTATTCCCAAGCTGCATTGCGGGGGAAATTCCAAGTAATGTTCGATCGTGTTCCGCGAAACCAACAGTTCGGCAAAAAGACACACATGTATACCTAGACCGTCTGTGCGGCAATACGACACACATACCACGACCGTCCGTACGGCTTTCAATATCTTGTTCTGGTTTGGTCATATTTGTGTTAAATAACATTACTTTTTGAGACGCTATCACTCTTTTTTCTCTCTCTCAGATTTAGAGGTCACTACAGAAGATCACCTTATCAAATAGTTGTTTCCAATGGTTAGTTATCAACAATAAAAGCCGGTTTAATTTGACCTATTTGTTTTCAGCAACGCGTTGACCTTTTGTTTAACCTTTGAAATGATATATTTAGTCGTGGCGGGAGGGTGTTGTTGTAGTTAAGTCTACCCGGAAGTTTAATTCGGTCCACATAACAAGTTACGATACGAATACTTGTTTGTGCGGCCTCACACAGGAAGAGGCCCAATAAAGGAACACGGATAATGTTGCTTATCATTAACACGCTTCTATAAGAGAATGTTGACTTTCGGCATTTCTCAAGGATAAACAGTATTAAGAATTATTTTTTAACAATATTTTGACTCTTCCAATTTTGTCTAAAATGCGATTTATTTACCCTACCTTCCCTCACACAAAACTGATAAGACTGTGTTATCAACCTGAGCGATAAGGAATGTGTGTTTTGAGATATGGCCCTGAACCTTGTACTCCAGTTTTAAACATTCACCTGACCCGTCTGTGTACATACTGCGTTTAGGAGTGAGACCTGACTGAAGATAAAAAGGCCGATATTTTTATATTTTGATTAAAGAGCAACGATAATTTTTCTAAGGCTCAAAGCTTTAATACCATGCATTGTTCACGGTTACATTCAAGTTGTACCAAACGACACTCACACACACAAAACTCGTCCGACTCATTCGGCTTTTCTAAGAACAAATCATGACACATCAATAGTACATATTAGGTGCGATTTACAATTAACCTTCAATAAATGGTTTCACGGAAATATGACGACAGACACACCGAACAATTGAGTATGCATTTCGCGATCATCAGGAAAACGAAACATGTCTGCAACAATTGAAGGGCTAAGTACAAACAGGTGTCGGAAGTTTACACTGATCTCA